ACTTCATTTTTTTAATAAATAGGACTACTTATATTTTATTTCAGAATTACAATTTAATTAATCTTACTAAAAGTACTAAACTGGCCTAATTAGGACTAAATATGTCATAGAAAACAACGATAGTCTTATTTGTACAGAAAAGATAAATAACGAGAAAAAACAAAAAGAAACCAATAAGAAACTACCCAACCCAAAGCCAATCCCTATGACCCTATCTAGATGATCCCGACCCTCAATCAATTCTTCAAAGCCCTATTCATGATTGTTTTCATAAAAAAAACTTCATAACTAAAGTAGTTATGAATTAATATTTATGTATTCAAAATCTATTATAATCTAAAAGCAAAAGAATTTTGGGGATGAATTTCCCGCTCAGAAAGGTCAACATCCAAAGTGTGAAAATAAATATAGAGAACTATTGTGAAAAAGGATCGGCCAAGGCTTTTCAGAATTTGGTGTTCCTATTGGTTAAGAAAAGAGGTGACACTGTTGATAAATAGGTGTTAGTGCGCATGGCATTGCATTTGGAATTTGGTGTGTTCCTATTTGTCAAAAAGAGAGGTTGGAACAGTTGACATAAAAGGAGCTGCTCATTTTTGCATTCTTACGAAATTGTTTGGTGTTTTCCTATTGGTCAAAAAGAGAGGTTGGAACTGTTGACAAAAGAGTTGATCAAATTGTTGGGTTACTATTGGTCATAAAAAAGGTGGGCACTGTTGACAATATTAGAGTTAGATCGGCAGGGCCGAAATCAAATTGTGAGAGTTCCTATTGGTTAAAAAGGAGGTGGATGAGAGTTGAAGCAGATTTCCATCTAAGCTATAAAAGCTGACCACCGGGCAGACGTTTCTCATACCAATACGCTCATATCAGGCGTGATGCAAACTTACCTTTGGTTGGCCATGTAGAGTTTAGATGGCTTCTGCATAGATTTTAGAAAAGATATCATTAGTTTTTGATGTTTTAATGCATGAAGAAAGTAAATGGAAAATAATACGGAGTAATTGTATACATGTTGCAGCATCTTTATCTTGATAAGTGAATCTTCATACTCTATGTAGTTCTTTTTATACTCGATAAGTGCCTCACCCCATGCTTCCTTTTCATTTGTTAACAATTCTATGTTTTGTTTGCAAAGGCATAGGCTAAATGATATTGTAATGTTCTCCGTTCTTGGAGGCTTATTTTTAGATACACTTTGTTTTTGTACGAAGTATAGTTTTAGTTCTTTATCTCATAGTAAATGTAATACGATAGTATCTTGGTAAGGGTGAGAGGGGAGAATCAGGTTGGTAGTTTAGTCGGGAGGTGGGAAGATAATGTTGAACTTAACGATTTGAGACTAAAGTGATACGATCAGTTGATCACTAAAGTGGCTATTGTTCTCAATATTTAAGTCTTTGTGAGCTTGGGTATTAGGTATATTAAATCCGGTGCACTGCGGTGGTGTGGACGTTTTTATCCATATACAAAAATCTGGAATAATTATATTTTCCTAAATTCAAAATTTAAATTTTGCCTATAATTTCAAAGGTATTACAATTTTTTAGATGAGAATAATCTATCCCAATATAAAAGAAAAAGAAGTTAAGGGAATAGTGTTCCCGCTCAATTCCGTCTCCTTCACAATACCTGATTTTTTATTGCTCAAAATCAATGCAAAATATAAATCGTAAAGGTGGTGTTACTTCGCTCGGCAAATGAGGGATTGCGATTACGCCATTTCTATTGGCCGAAAATGGCGGTGTGAATAGTTCTACTAAAATTACGGGTGCTCTTATTGGTCTACACAGGTGGTGAGCATTGTTGGCTGAGTTCCTACCTAACTTGATTTTCATTATTAATCACCTTGCGTTATTTCTATTGGTGGGAAATGGAGGTGTGAACAGTGAATGGGAATGGCCCATGCTACTAGAAGCAATTACTGCTGATACATTCGGGTATAAAAACACAACTCCAGCGGCATTCTCTTCACATCCTTTCGGCGTTCAAACTAAAATAGCAAACAAGTAATACACCTATTTCAGTATGTGATATTGAACAAAGCAAGACAACTTTGGCGATAAAGGCAAGGGCCACAATGGTGTATCGTGAACCTGCATACGATGACTTCCCACCCTCTTTGGAAGTTATCTTTCGTGATGAGGATCAGAGGTTGTAAAATTTTAATTTGTTCTGATTTTGTTGTTTCCACCAGCAGTACAAGTATGAGTTCCCTTTACATGTTAAAGGATATTGATCAGCTCCCTATAGAGTCGTTCTTATGCAATAACAAGGGAGAACAATTGCTTCTTTCATTGATTAGAAGAATGTATTAATTATAAGGATGGTTCATAAGTCCATGATTAGGATTTTACTTAACATTCCAAATATATTATGTAATTGTTGTCATAAAGCAATATATATTTATGTATCCCCTAAATTTGCTAAACCCAATTCCCACAATTAAAAAATATTCTGTAATTACTTTTTTGGTTGACATAATTCGAATTGTTTAACAAATTTGGGTGGTTCAATAATGGTTAATTACATGTATGCGGTTAGCATGTTCAACAAGTACATGTTAACGAGCTTTGATGAAAAAGGTATGATCAAACACAAATATTTACCGAAGAAATTTCATCAATAATGCTACTAGAGTAGCTGAAGTTCATACCAAGTCAGCAAATAAGAGGTTAATTGAACAATATATTTCTGTAATTATAGGTCGGATCATTCAAAAATGGTGTAGACCCAGCTTTTTATAAGTATAGATGTTTCCTAAAGTCAGAAGATTGTGATCAAAGTTCGGAAAGAGCTGCACATATATTTTATTTTATTTTTTAAATTAAATTAAATTAAATTATTTATTATTTATGGATATTTGTAAATATAAAAAGCAGTAAAAATACCTTATACGGAGTATATTTTATTAATAAGTTTATTAAATTGTTGACAAATCTGTAAAAAAAGTAAAATCAAATTATCAAAAAACTTTCATCCATATTCTACCCAAAATGTAACTTATTTTAAAGAACCTATGTAAAAATTTCAGAAATGCCATATTAACTCATATAAACCGCATGTGTATAAAGATATGCTTAGATTTCTTTGCCAAGTTGCAGCAGTAATATACCTTTTCTCAAATTCAAAGCTTCAGAAACATAGGTTGTACAAGTATATTGCAAATGGTCGACCATAAAAGAGAAATAAAGACAAAGGGAGTAATAAATGATGTCAACCCAAACGAATTACAAGCAGGTTATTGTTTTTGTACAGATCTTAGCCATTCACCTACATCTGAGAATGATTTGCAAATCAAATAAAATGAAAAAACCGGGAATATCAGCTCATTATCAACCGGTCAGGAACCAGCAAATGAAGATGGGGTGCAAAGGTTAGATTATTCATGAATAATGATAAGGTGTAACTATTGTTAGAAGACCGCTAAAACATTGGATTATTAATTTCCATTTTCCCTTTATTTATTTTCCTTATTTATTTATTTATTTATTTATTTATTTATTTATTTATTTATTTATTTATTTATTTATTTATTTATTTATTTATTTATTTATTTATTTATTTATTTATTTATTTATTTATTTATTTATTTATTTATTTATTTATTTATTTATTTATTTATTTATTTATTTATTTATTTATTTATTTATTTATTTATTTATTTATTTATTTATTTATTTATTTATTTATTTATTTATTTATTTATTTATTTATTTATTTATTTATTTATTTATTTATTTATTTATTTATTTATTTATTTATTTATTTATTTATTTATTTATTTATTTATTTATTTATTTATTTATTTATTTATTTATTTATTTATTTATTTATTTATTTATTTATTTATAGAAAAGATGAGTCCAGTTCCAAATGTTTTAGTTTGATAGTCAAATCTCCAAATACATAAGGAGTGTGTATTTCTTGAAAAACAAATCAACATGTGGTCAGAAAGTAACTTAAACCTTACTTATTGATTATAAAACAATTTAAAGCATGAAATCAATTTGGAGGTATGTCTTATTGGAGGTATTTTGAAAAATTATTTTGGATCTTCACCTCCGCACATGATTTCTTTTATATAGGTAATTATTTTCATTTTTTGTAATTCGAATAGACTTATTAAGGACTGAACAATAAATGAGTTAGATAACTATTGTAATTCAAATAATTCAAAAAATAAATTATTTCATTTTAATTCATATTTTACAATTTGTTTTATTCATTTTATTACACTTTATAATAAACACTATTAATAATTATTGTAGAAATATTTCACACCGTGCATCGCACGGGTGAGTTACTAGTTTATATTAAAATGATGAAGTAATACTCACGTACTACGGATATGCATGGACCCGGGTCGGGCCTAGGCCCAGTCGGACTTTTGAGGAATGGGGGAATGCCCGGAACCTGCCCGGGTTGCCACCGGGTACGAGCCGGGCCGGGCCTCGAGCTACTTAGTTTTTTTTTTTTTGGCTTTTCTACTTAACCCCCCCACCGCCCAAAACACCCAGCCCCAACCCCCCCCCCCCCCCCCCAAAAAAAAAAGAAAAACCGGAATCGGGCCCGGACCGGCCGGGCCGGTTCGTCTTTTGGGTGACCCGAGCCCGCACCGTAAACCCCCCGGGCCGGGCCTATCCGGACCGGTCCCTAGCCGGCCCACCGGTTCGGGCCAGGCCCAAACAGTGCCGCCGGTCCGGTTCCGGGTCGGGCCACCCGGTCCGAGTCCATCACTAAGTACGGAGTATATAATGCATGTCTAGATAAAACTGTGAATAGATGAAGTCATTGGCTAATTCAAAGGACATTAGCTTTTGATTAATTGAAATATTCATTTTGCTATTATTATTATATAATAATACGTAGTATAATAGACCTCCGCTTCACAATCAATGTCACACTTTCTTTTTTTGGATTTGTCAAATAATATTTTGTTTATGGAGCTCTCGCTGAGTAACATACTACCACAAATTATTACTGTCACATTCCATAGATGATCCCAGTATAATTATATACCCACACGGCCACACGGTCACTGATGGCAAAATAGATCACACAACCAATTAAAACAATGCAGGCGCCCGGATCTTATGTCAAATCAGATAACAATACCTCATCTGTAACATTTATTTATAAGTAAAATAGGCAAAACTAGTACATTTTTTGTGTTAGTTTAGCCTATACTACGTACATATGTGGGTCAAAATGCTCTTCCCGCAATATGTTGTGCATCCTGTAAGGCTGTAACACCACACAGATTGCTGCTTGATGAACTACCATTATAAAATACCTTACCAAACAAGAAGCAAACAAAAAACGGATGAGTACAACAAATACATTCTATAGAACTGAATCAAACATAATCTTTCCAAATGAAATAAAATTACAGTGTAGAATGGAATTAACCCAGCAAACACAGAAAATATCAAGTTGTTTAGACCCCAGTAAGCAGAAAAAAAGGTAAAAAAAACCATTGGTTTGAACTGTATGCACGCAATGCTGATGAAGTGAAAAATGCTTGTCAACCTCATGGAGCCCCACGCTTTAACAGCATTTGTAGATGTATTTTGAGGTTGTTATTATACAACCATAAGACAATTAATGGAACTCAACAAATTCTTAACATGTAATCCAGGGGACAGAAATTCAAAAGCATTAGCATATAGAGCCCGTTTGGAGAACTCTGTTTTCGGCTTATCAGGCTTATCAGCCAGCTTTTTCACCAAACACGTAACTTTTACTTTCGCGCGCTGAATTGTGTAATAAGCCGAAAAAGTAAGGTTGAAGTTACTTTTCTGGCTGTATTGGCTGAAGTTACTGTAGAGGACCATTTTAGCTATTTTTACATATAATTTTTTCTTTAATTTATTAATAAAATATATTTTTAAAATATTTTTTTCTTAAATCAGCAGAATCAGCCAAAACAGCCACTCCAGCCAGAATATCATAAATTTCAGCAGAATCAGCCAAAACAGCCGATTTTGGTGCTACCAAACGGGCTCATAGTATACTTGAAAATTTGCCAAGCAAGAGCAAGGAGTACAAGGTATTATTGGAAAGCCTAATCGCTAATCCTACTGCAAAGCATAGGGTGATTGAGATTGTGGATCATTCAAAGAAAAATATACTGTAACGAAGCATTATATCATGCTGTGCACAGAGATTGTAGTTTAGTAGAATGTTCTCCAATGGACAGATTTCCATATGTGCATGCCCATTCAATCTTCTTCTTCCTCCTCCCTCCCCCTCTTCCTCCCAGCATTATGTTCTGGTCTAGGAGATGCTACTTCTCTGGCATCGAATTCAGGAGCACTTTGTTCGGCTTGTGGATGCTGGTAGTTGGGCGAGCAGTCTGAAAGGTATACCTTGCACAAAACCCAATCGCCCAACTGCAATTACAAGATAATGAATGTAGGCAATTGAGGAAAGGGCAATGGCAGTAAACACATATATAATGAAAACAAAGAAAGAGGGGATAAAGTAAAGAGCACCCTTTGATGGGGATCAAATGGTCTGAATACGTCCATCATGAAGCTAGTTTCATGTCCATTGCTGTAGTATTTGAAAGTCTTACTGACTCCAATAATGCAACCTTCTGCTTCGACCATGCCTTCCTCCGGCTGTTGTACTCGCTCCCACACCCCTGATCCATCCGCGCTTTCTATCCTTGCCTCGTCGGCGTATTTCCTGCCCCAAAGAGAATACATGAAATATTCACGGTCCGGCCCATACTCCGCTGCAAACCGATAGCAATAACTAAATCAGCAGCAGCAGCAACTTAGTCGATCTATTAGGGTTGGGGGAAATGAAGAAACTTATGAGTTAATTAACGTACTGGTGAGCGAATCGGGAACGATCTCGTATATATTCTTCAACCTGTTTGGGAAGAGGTCTTCTTCGACAAAGTTTATACTGTCGGGTAAAGGTCTGTCTGGAAGACAGTTTTCCATGGACCAGAACCAATCCCTGATAAACCTGAAATCTTTGTACCACCAATCTGTGGGGGGATTCAAGTAATGAGGAATGTCTGCCATTGTTCCTCACTGGGAATTCAGGTTTGGAGGTAGATATCTCACACAGGCACTCACATTGTTCCTCCTGATTTTCTATTAAAAAAAAAAGATTTTGAATGTAAAAATGTCCTGATTTTCTAATTATTACTCCATATAGATTTGAGGCTAGTTTGGTAGTTTACATATAAAAGTTTTTTAATGTAATTATATAGGAAATCAATCATTTTGAATGTAAAATTGATTACTTGTATAATTTATTTTTAAATTACATGCAAAATCGTTGCAGTGCTTCATAGATGTCATGCAAAGTATTTTATCACTGTACTTTACACGGTACGCTGTAAAATGTTTATAAAAAGTGTTCTACAGTTTACATTAAATAATCAAATCAAACAGTGTAATCATTTTATGTGCTTACACTTCACATGCAAAGTAATTATTTTACGCCCTACCAATGCAAATGCTCTTAGCTTGGATCGTAGGTTCTCTCCCCACTTCAATTGTTGAGGCGAACTTCCCCTCCTCTGCTCAAGCTCCATTCAACGTAACTACTATCCGGATGTAAAGTGGACCGAAGCCGAGCATAACTTAATTTTTTTTTTAATTTTTTAGTATAAATCTTTACATTTTTCATATTCAATCCACCCCGTTAATGTTTAAATCTACTATAATTGCTACACGGTCCAGTGCATCTTAGATTTTGGGATCTTCTCCGGCTCCATTGATTTTATATTCATAATAATAGGAGTTTTTTCCAATAATGTGACTATGGAGCTACACACGGGGCTTTGATCGTAGTCTAACTGAAAGCAATAAATGAGGTGTAATTTTGTTACATACGGAGTATTTTTTTGCGTCTTCAAAACAAAGCATATGCCAACTTATGAAATTGATTTTTGAGGACTACGAACAAGGTGAAGTTGCAAAGTAAGAGCATCTTCAATGCTAAAACGTTAACGGTGCATACATGCCATGAGAAATAACCAATTAAAAAACAATACATAGAATAGCTCTCTCCTTATTTGAAGGATCTTGCATCATTTTGGTAAGTTTTTCTTCACAATGTCAAGCACAATGTCTAGATGTAGACATTGTGGTTGACATTGCAGAGAAAAACTTACCAAAAATACATAAGACCGTGAAAAGAAGGAGAGAGAAATGTCATCAAATCAATATTTTGTGTGTATATCTATCATGCCACATGTGCACCGTGCACATTGTGGCATTGAAGATGCTCTGAGAGGGTGAAAAAATTACTTAAACCGATCTAGGGAGACGAGTTATATTTTGGTCTCGTTACGGTTGGATTTGAAATGAAAAATAAAATCGTTTTGTTCTACGAAAGAGTGTGGATCGATGAAAAGTTTGGGCTCAGGAACAAGTTGTCATTTGCATCGACCAGTTTTCAGTTTAAAACTTGATGAAATAGTCACTGATATAATGAATATGGTACTAATTAAGGCCATCTCCAACAAACACCATCTTCAACACCAAAATGGTGTATTTGGCAAAAAAAAGTTCCAACAATGACACCAAACTTTACACCATTACACTAAAATGGGGGAGGGGGGATGGCTTTACGCCATATATGCCGTACACCATTTGTGGCACCATTCTCTTTTTGTAATTTTTTTTTCTTTCAAATGTGACCCAAAGTTTTGATTATTATAGTTTTGACTCATTCTTAAAACAACAAATTAGGATGTTTTACTTGGACTGAAATTTGTTGGTCCGGTCTGGTCTGATCTGGTCTGGTCTGAATTGATGTGGTCAGGTCTGATTTCTTTGTATTTTTATAACTACCCAAGTTTGGTCTAGTCTGGTCTGATCTGATCTGAAACAAATTACAATCCAAGTAAAAAACATTCTTAAACAACAAGAAAATGGTGTGAAATGTCAAAATATTAAATGAGGGACTAATGTATAAATATAAGATAGTTAGATACTTAAATAGAATAATGGTAAAAAGTTAGTAAAAATAATAAAAAGAGAATATTCCTTTTTGTGATGAAAATGGTGTAAATTGTTGGATGATATTGGACTCCGCACCCTATTTTAGAAAAAAATGTTATCTTTTTGCCCCATCATAAACATTTTGTGAAGAAAAATTCCAAATGAGGTGCAATCTTAGGAGTGTTTGCAACTGCTTAAAAAAAAGCACTTCTCGGTTTTTTGCGTAAAAACACTTTTTTTTACCAAAACTACCAACTTTTACTTTTCCCGACTTTCGTGTGAAAGTGTTTTTATTTTTTTATTACACAAAAATCACTTATTTTACCAAACATTACCAACTTTTACTTTTCAAAATCACTTTTATCTCAAACACTATCAACTTTTACTACTAATTACTTTTTCAAAATCACTCCAAAAGTGCTTTTTAAGCAGAAGCTGTTGCAAACACTCCCTTAAAGGACTTAGAAATGGGGTGTAAAGTCAAAGTTTTTTAAAATGGGGTACAAAGTCCAATATCACCCAAAAGTGAGGTGCAAAGTCAAATTCTCTCATATAAAAATTGAACATAAGTTACTATATGGTTACATTATTACTCTAGTCATTAGTCACATTATTGTAAATGATCATCATTTTAGTCATTAATACTTTATGTGATTATTTCATTAATTAAAGTCATAAATCTTTAAGCTTTTATTATACGGAGTATACAACGTCGTAGTATTTCCTCCGTCCGACTTAGATCATCCTTTTCTATTAATTTCATTAAGATTGTCTCATACCAAATTTGGTACTCCCTCCGTCCTGGAATTAACTTCAGTTTTGACTGGGGACGGAGATTAAGAAAGTGGGAAATGTGTGGTGGAGAGGTGTGCAGAGGGGAGAGAAATGTGTAAGAATGGTTGTGAACCACAAATTCTTTGCTAAAAAGGGAAAGAGGAGATAAATTTGGAACAGACCAAAAAGGAAAGAATGAAGATGATTATGGGACGGAGGGAGTAAAATTTTTGTGATTATCAATCAATCTTACTTAATTCTTACTTTATCAATTCAATATAAACCACATAAATAATTATTTCTTAATGAACACATCATCTCTTCGTGTCTCAATCTTACTACGAGGGAGGTAGTACATAATAAAACCTTATTGTTTATGGCTTTAATTAATCATTAATTATTTCTCGGCATTTGTTTGGAGGACCAATGAATTAGTATTTGAATGCCTAGTTTTTTTTAGTTTTTTTTTAAAACATTTGAATGCGTAGTTAGTTAGACTATTTTACGAAATAAGCTCGAAATGTTAGGTTATACTGCCTCTCTTTCAATTAAATTCTAATTTTTTTTCTGAAATGTCCTAAATTTAGGTTTCCAAATCTCTTATTTGTAGTATTTGAAATTTCTCATTGCAATACCTTTTTAATAAATAAAAAAGTGTAACAGGGAAAGAGGTTTTTTATAATTATTACTAAATAGAAGTTAAAAGACAGAAAACATGACTTTAAAACTATTTTCCAAAATGTGACTACTATATGATACATGTGGGTTTACAAAGAAAATTCACCATGTTGAGATGGAAATTATCAACCGTTTCATGCTAAAAAAAACATGAATATTTAATGGATAGCATGATGTGCAACTTAAAGTGTAAAAGTGTGATATGAGGAGAGTTTCAATTATCTTAAGACCATTTGTAATGGTAAAGAGTCCAAATTGTTAAATTTGGACTCCGTTCATATGAAAACGGTGTTTAGACTCTGCCAATACTGTTTTCCCCTGCACTCGTGCACCGTCAATAAAATATACTCTACATATTTTTTTACATATCAATTTAGTAAAACATTAACTAAATTATTATAACTGATGTTTTACTTTTATTTTTCTCTCTAAGTAATTATGAAATAAAAAATACACATTTCGATGTAAAAATAAGTAAATTCCATTATTTTTTTAATGTTTTTTAGATAACAAAAAATGAACTTAGTTCAAGTAAAGTTCGATTATGGAATATCAAGTTACTTTTGAAGGCTCCAAAAATCATAATTTTGTGTTTCGTGTTTTTTGGGCTCAAGAAAACTTCAAACAGCTAAAATTTTAGATTTTAGTTTTTCATTTTATATATTACATATTGATTTGATATGAAAGATCTTAAAAATTCATAAATATTGATATAGTTTTTGAAACGATTGGTGAAGAAATACAAAACTTATGGAAGTTTGAAACAATTTGGGGTAATAATGACATCACCATGAAGGAAGTCTCCCTTCTTTGCAGCATCTTACAAAGCCTTGCAGGCAGCCCCTCCCCCACTTTCTTTTTTTGAACTCTGTCAACCGAAGCATCTACTTATACACTGTGTTGTAAGAATCGGACCGGACCGGCCGGTTCGACCCGGAAACCGGTCACCCGGCCGTGGAACCGGTCCGGTTGAGTGCTGAACCGCTAACATGGACAAAAACGGATTTAACCGGTGGACCGGCAGAGCCGGGGACGGACCTGGACCGTCACAAACCCGGGAAAACCGGACGAACCGCATGTTGAAATTACTTTTCATTTGAAAACATTTATGACCTGTTTGTTTGGGGGTTAACCTAAGTTATTGAAGGTTCAATTTCTAGTTAACCCCGTTTGTTTGTATTTTTGCAATAAGAACCTAGGTTATGTGTTAACCTCACTTAACTCCCGAGAACCTAGAAGAACCTTAAATAGAAGAACCTCCGAATCGGGGGTTTTTGGAGGTTAAGTTCTCGTTTAACATAAAATGAGCTAGAGTACCTTCATCCAAACAACATTTATTACATTAACCTAGGTTCACCTTCTATATTTCCAAACACTATTTTAGTGCATGGATCTAGGTTCACTTAGGTTAACCTAGTTTTTATTAAAACTTAGGTTTACTTTATTGCACTAGGTTTAGTTAACTTCACTCTATCCAAACAAAGCATTAAAAATTGGCATAGAGGGGATTCGAACCCCGTGCCTACTAAACCTCCCAGCCGTGTAACCAACTAGACTACTTGTCCGATGTGTAGAAAGTTTCATTTTAGATTTTTATATTATACTTGCTTAGCAGTTTTAGATCAATTGATAACCTATTTTATTTGCTATTACTATTAGAATACTACCTTTACTACGTACATAAACTAAACTATGCGAATTTA